AATATAAAGAAATATAATATATTAATATATCAAGAATATCAAGAATATATCAAGAATATTGGATCTTTGACCTCAGGGAGAAAAACGTTTTATAAATTAACGTCTGCTTACAATCAGTACAGAGCAAATTTCAGCTATCTTGCGACAAACAATGATTCTGTAACAAACAACAGGAGACTGTCATTTCAACAAATTGAAATAAGTGCGAAAGTCGCAGAGAAAATCATAGGGGCAAAAATCATAAAAGTCATAGAGGCAAAAGTCATGAAAATGGCATCGTTTAAATCTTCGACTTGTTTTCCGATATTTGTTATCGAATTACGCATTTATAATTTAATTGCGCCAAGTTTTCAAACATTGTTATTTTCAAATTAGACGATCTCCCGGCCACCTTGAATAAATTCTAAATTCGAATCGCGATATACACAATGTATAATATTTTACAATTATCAGAAACTTTTATCGATAAAACTCGTATCAGATTACAAAATCAGATTGAAATTAGGTTGGAATTTAATCAATTCAAGTAAAGTTCACTTAAATAAAATTTCTGCCTTCTGCACTGTAACTTAATTTGTAATCTAAAAATATTATAAAACTATTATATCTGATAAAAATATTTTTCAATTTATTTTATTTCAACGTTTGCAAATACGTACTTCTGAAAATCTGAATCCATACAATGCCTAGGCATTGAAATGGATTCAGATTTTCAGAAGTACATATTTGCGAACGATGAAATGAATTCTCTTCAATCTATTTATAATTTTTAATTTATTTTCGTTTACTGGGCAGTTAATACATTATATATGTTTGTAAAATATAAAAACATATAAATACATATAAAAACATATAGTACTTTGCATTTTTAGATATTATATACTATTTTAATTTACTTGTGCATTAGAAGTACTTTTTTAATAAAAATTCTTTTTTAATATGTCAGCATATCATCATTAATAATTGAGTATATATATATATATATATATATATATATATATATACTACACATA